TAGCACGTCCAGCGGCCGCACCTGGCAGGGCCGAGGGCAAGGGGAGAGCGGGAAGGGTGCGGCGGAAGGGAGAAGGGGAGAGGAGAAGCGGAAGGAAAAGGGGGAAGGGAGAGAAGGAAGTTAAATGGAAGGGGCCGGGGGGGAAGGGAGGGGTGGAAGGGAAAGGGGGGAGACAGGAGGAAGGGAAAGGGGGGGGGGGGAAGTGGAAGGGAGCATGGGGGGAGAGGAAATGGCATGGGACACCGGGATAGCACGGAGCAGAGAGAAACATAGCATGGTGCATGATGGGCTATGGCGAGAATCACTAGAGGGCAGCAGAGCACAGCACAGAAAAGGACAGCACAGCACAGCACAGCACGGCACGGCACGGCACGGCACGGCACGGCACGGCACGACACGGCACGGCACGTCACCGCACCGCACAGCGCAGCGCAGCACAGCACAGCACAGCACAGCACAGCACAGCACAGGACGTGGGGAGCAGGGCGGGCATACAGTGGAGGGGTCGGGAGCAGCAGTGAGGCGCAGGTAGCTCTTCTCGACCTTCCTGCACGTGCCCTTGATGGTCAGCATGTCCCAGTCCATGTCCTCCACTGCCCCGCCCCCCACCCCCACCCCACCACCAGCGGCAGCCGCCGCAGCCGCAGCAGCGCGCCCCTGCCTCACAGCACGCGCCAGCGCCAGCGAGTGCGCCTTGGCTCTGCGAATCGACGTCCTCACAGCCCCAGCCCCCCCCCCCCCCTACTACCCCTGCCCCGCCCCCGCCCCTCCCTCCTTTCCCGGCCTTGCCTCCCCTCCCACCGCCTCCCCCTCCTCTCCCTCCTCCCTTCCCACCGCCCTTCCCCGAGCCCTCTTCGTCCTGCCCCAGTGTGCCTTCGAATCTGGCCGCTCGTTGCAACCGCCGTGCCTTCTCCCCTGCGCTCTCGTTCACGCCCGCGCCAAACGCGCCGCCACTGCCTGCAAAGTACCCCTCCTTCAGCTCCTCCGCTATCCTGTCCGCGTCCCCCATGCCCACTGCCCCCCCTCCCACTGCTGCTCCTGCTGCTGCTGGCCCCCTCCCTGCTGCCGCTGCCACGGCTGCTGCTGCTGCCACAGCTGCTGCGACTGCCGCTGCTACCCCCCCTGGTGTGCTTGTATCGGCTGCCGCACTGTCAGGCGCCCACCTGCTCGCCCTGCCCTTCCCTCCCCGCCCTCCGTGCTGCTGCTGGTGGTTTGAGGCACGAAACCACGGGGACTGGAGGGCAGGGAGAGGGTGGAGCATGGGGAGAGGTGAGGCTGTGGATCACAGAAAGGGGTGCGGAAAAAAAGAAAAAAAGAAAGAAAAGAAAGACAGGAGTGGTGGAAAAGGAGCAGCAAGGGAGCTCAGTAAAGGAATGCATACAGTTTGAATGGGCGAGGGGGCAGCAGCAGGCAAGGTGGGTTGGTCGAGCGGGTCTCCCCAGCGCGACCGCTTGGCCTTGCGCGAGGGCGTGGGGGACGATGCAGATGGCAGCGCACTCGATGGGGTTCTGGGGGAACGGCGAGGGGTGAGTGTGTCAGTGTGTCGAGTGCGGCGAGTGGGGCGAGTGGGGCGAGTGGGAGAACCGGGGGGAGTGGGGAAGGAGTAAGAATACCACAAGACAGCACAGGTGAGGTGTTGGGTGAAATCGGAGGGGCAAGCACGGGAGCAGGGGAAGGAGGCGAGGCAGAAAGAGGGAGCAGTGAGGCAGGTGAGGGCGGCACAGGCATGGCGAGGTGGTGTGGAGTGGACTCACGAGGTGGCAGTGGGGGCGGGGGCGGTGTGCAGCAGCGAGGGCAGCGGCTCCGTGTCCCAGTTCTTGGTGAAGAGCGTGCCGTTGCGCGCTGCTTCCGTTATCATCTGCACCGCACCACACCGCACCACACCACACCCAGTGGTGCCACCGCACGGCACAGAGAGCATGGCAGGGAGGGACGGAGGGGAGGGTGGGGGAAACAGAACATGAGGGTGAAAGGGACGACGGAAGAGGAGTGGGAACAGAAAGCAAGGTCAAGTCGGGGAGGGGGAGGAGGGTTGGGGAGGGAGGGATGTGAATAAAGCGTACTGGTCAGTGATCCACCCTTGAGCGAGAGCATGACATCCACGCACATGAGTCGCACATGGGTCGCACACGCAATAAGAGATGAGATTACGAGGGTCGTAGTGCACAGCATGATGGCACTGATGCCCACAGCACGCACAGACACACACATAGACACATCATGGACAAACAACAGCAGCAGCGGCAGCAGAAGCAGCGGCAGCAGCAGCAGCGGCGGCGGCGGCGCGTGCCCCCCCCAGCAGAGCACCTGCTTCATGAGTCGCTGGCTCTCCTCCTTGTGCTGCGCTGTGATGCACCGTGCCAGCACCCGCTCCACATACGCTGCTAGCCCCGGGGGGAACTTGCCCGGCTGGTCATTGTGTTGGGGTGGGGTGGGAGGCGCGAGAGGAGAGAGGTCGTGCACGTTGGAGCATGGAAGACGGAAGGAGGGAGGGGCGAAGGGAGAAGGAGACTTGCAGGAAAAAGAAGAGGCAGAGAGTGTGAACAACTTGTTGGAAGAGGAAGGAAGCATGATTGAGTGACATGACACATGCCATGACATGACTTTCCCTGTGCAAACGCACACCCAGTCTACCCCAATATCCACATACACATACGTGTGCGCGCGCGCCCATACACATGCACACAGGCACAGATGTTTATTGATGCACACCAAGCACATGAGCACAGGGGGCTAGCACACACAGGCACCTGCCATTCCAACACACACGGCACCGCACCTGGATGGCAGCATCAGCAGCCTCGTCCACACTCGTGGCCTTCTTCCCCGCCCCTTCCTCCACAGACACATACGCCACCCCGCCCCTTTGCCCCCCCGCCCCGCGCTCACTGCTGCCCTCCCTGCCACCTCTCCCTCCCGCCGCTGCTGCTGCCGTGGCAGCAGAGGAGGCGGAGGTGGGAGAGGAGGCGAAGCGGGGGTTGAAGGGGATGTGGAACTTGGACTGCAGAGCGCTGCTCGCTGCCCTCACCTGCTGCTGCTGCTGCTGCTTTCTTTGAGCCTGTTCGTGTGGGTGGGACCCATGGTGGTGGTGGTGGTGGTGGTGGTGGTGGTGGTGGTGGTGGTGGTGGTGGTGGTGGTGGTGGTGGTGGTGGTGGTGGTGGTGGTGGTGGTGGTGGTGGTGGTGGTGGTGGTGGTGGTGGTGGTGGTGGTAGTGGTGGTGGTGGTTGTGGTGGTGGTGGTGGTGGTGGTGGTGGTATGGTGGTGATGAGTGATGACAAAACAAACGGGTTGCGAAAAGAGGAAAAATAAGAAATCACTTTATTTCTTGCCGGCCGACACATACTCGCTCGCTTGCCTTCCTTGCTCCAAGCTGAGGAGGCAGGGCAGAACGAATCAGCAAGCCAGCAGCAATACATACGCGCACAAGCACATGCGCAGCACAGACTTGTGTCTCTTGCGGATCTATGCCTACTCTGTTGCGTACTGTTCAATACATGCAACGTGAGTGCGACAGCATGGAGCAGGAGCAGCAGTACCTGTGCATTGGTGTACTGCCATTTGAAGTACGGTGCACTGCCCTCCGCCCCTTGACCCGCCTTGCCATTCTGCCCCGCCCCTGCCCCTGCCCCTGCCGCCCCACCGCCACCTGCCGCAGCGGCTGTCGTTGTTGCAGCAGCCGGCGCAGTGCTGGCAGCAGCAGCAGAGGCGGCATAGGCAGCGGCATAGGCAGCAGCAGCAGAAGGGTACTCCCCATACGCCTGAGCCGGCACATGGCTATGCGCCTCTGCCTGTGCTGCGCCTGCATGCTCTGCTGCAGGTGCCTGTGCCTGTGCCTGTGCCTGTGCCTGGGCTGGGTGCCACTGTCCGTTCCACCATATACCCGCTGGGGCCACAGGCGCATATGCTGCTGCTGCCACCCCCGCTTCATGCTGCTGCTGCTGCTGCTGTGCATATTGACTACCCGCCATGGCCTGCTGCCCACCTTGTTGCTGCTCCTGCGCCACCCCCCCGTACCCCCAATTTGCTGCCCCATCCTGCGCTGCTGCTGCTGCTGGCTGTGCAGGGGGGGGTGGTGGGGGAGGCAGTGGGGGCGGGGACGCAGAAGGGGGCGGGGGCGGAGGTGGGGCGGGTTCCGCCCCGCCTGCTGGGGGAGGAGGCGGGAGGGCGGATCCGGGGGTGTAGTAATAGGGGGAGGGGAAGGAGGTGGGCGCGGCGGTGGCGGAAGGCGCAGCAAGGGGTTCCGCGCCAGGGGGAGCAATGTCGTCCGGTTGGTCAGTGGGGGGAGTGGGGGGGGACGGGGCCCCAGGAGGAGGGGTTGGGGCGGAAGGGGGAGCGGGAGGATAGGCCTGGGGCGATGGATAGGGGTATGCAGAGTAGTGTGCGTATGCTGCTGCGGCTGCTGCTGCCACTGCTGCTGGATCCTGGGAAGGGGAAGCGGCGCATGGGTGTGGGGATGGCACGGAGATGGTATCAGGTGCACGACGTGGGGCGTATTACCGAGTGCGTGTGTGAAACGAGAGTGCGACAGGGAGGGGGGGGAAGGGGTGTGGTGCGGATAAGGAGTGCGGGGGAAGAGGAAGGGGAAGGGAGGGAGTTGGGGTGGAAGGGGAAGCACAGTCGAGGGTCTGACTGCGGAAGCCAGCATGCGAATGCCGTGAACGGTGCGAGTTGCGGTGTGGCGAGCTAGGTTACCGGAGCACCGGCATCTGCAAGCGTACCTGCACTTCCTGAGCCTGCTGTTGCTGCTGCTGTTGCTGTTGCTGCTGTTGCTGCTGTTGCTGCTGATACGCGTATGCATACCAAGCATCATACGACGAGCCTTGCCCATACGCCGCCGTTTGCTGCTGCTGCTGCTGCTGTTGCTCCAGTCGCTGCTGCTCCGCGTAGTGCACCGCCATGTTCTGGTAGTAAGCAGCGTACGTGTCAGACACGGGCGCCGCTGCTGCCGCTGCTTGAGCCTCGTTGCCTGCTCCCGCGCTGCCGTCGCCTTGATGCGCCATGCAGGCCGCGACAGTGTGAGAGGAACGGACACTGGCTGACGCGCGTAGGGCGACCGTGTGTGGAGGATTACGTTACGCTGCTACGCGGTTACTCTGTTACGCTGTGCGATGCTGCGCTGCGTCACTTCCCCGCTGCGGGAAATAACGACTGCCAACGTGAGTCAACCGCAGCATTAGCAGCAGATTCCCTTTTCGCGATGGAAAGCAGTCAGCCAGTGCGGGCTGCTTTGACATCGACGGATGCGGCGTGGACGGCGGGGAACCGCAGCTGGCGCGGAGCGACGGGGGGGTAGGGGGAGAGGGGGGGGAGTCGAAAAAGCGGATAGATTCCTTCGCCTCGGCACCATCCAAGGCGGAATCAAGGCAGAGCGCAACCACGGACCATGAATTCCGGAAGGAAACCCTAAACCTCGTTCTCGACGCGCTGTGGCCCACCTAAGGCCCTAAAACGGCGCGACACGGAGCCCTAGACGCGCCGCTGACTGCTGCTGCGCCGCGTGTTGCGCGCTAGCTGCTGATTGGCTAATTGGCTAAAGGATCCGACTCGCGAGCGAAACTGGGAGCTGGTCCGTACAGACAGACGAGGGTCCAGATGAGCGATGCGGATTGAAGCTGAAACCGTCTGCTAATGGCGGGCGACGGCGCGAGGCGAGGCGAGACGGCATGCTTGTGACTATGACAGGGGTTCGTTAGCTAGTCAGCGCATGGAATGCGCCGCACACCGCGGGATTGGCCAGAGATTTATGACGATTGCCGCTAGAGTGTGTATTCGCAAGAGTCATGAGTGTCAGAAGGCGATGCAGGTGGTGGACGGGACGGCGCACGACGGCGCACCTCGGTATTACTCCCCAATCTCGTTACTCGTGCTTACACTGAACCATTGCATCCTGTTCAGCAGTTCCCGCGATGCGTCTGAAAACTACCAGAATAAAAGCCTTCGAGACTCCTACGTCCGCTGCTGATATGTATAAAGACGAGCAGGATGACGACGATCCAGCAGACATGAAGCGGTGTGGCGGTGGCACAGCACGGCCATTGGCGGGATGTGACTCCAACCCAACCCTGCCTTGCTCGCTTGCCTTGACGATGCTTGCCTCCGCTAAACAGTGTTCCGAGATTTCATAATTTGTGTATCTAATGCTAGAGGTGAACCTCCATGCGATTATCCTTCTTCAAGGTCTTCTAATAGGCCTCCTATAACTCAAATGTTTCACGCTGATTTGGATTAAAAAAACTGATAATAAGGGGTCGTTTGGGCCTTAGGCTTAATCCTCAAATATATATATTTGTGTTTGTAAAGCTAGACGACGACATACAGGGGGTTATATGTAACATCTCATACCCTATACAATACAGACCAACCTAGCCTAGAAAGTATACATGACAAAGTCTGCGACCTTTGACCTTCACGTAACCTCCAGCTGTTACGTTTTGTCAACCTCCTTGGTTGACTCGCGGTTGCTTCACTGTAACGTGCCTCGTTTGCAATTCGATGTTCCGACACGTCAGAAGCGTTAAATTACTTGTTTCCAACACTCCCCTTCACTTCTGGAGTGTCGTTGCTGGTGACGTGGCCTTGTCCAGTCAGCAACATGCAGTACTCGAACTTATGCTTTCCGAGTTTCTAGGTCAAATAATCAGCTGCCATTTCGGATGTGGGGCAGTAGGACAGCTCGAGTCTTCCCTTCTCGATCTCGTCCTTCACGAAGAAATATCGCAGAGCGATGTGCTTCGTTCGATTCGCGAACCCGCTCTTGTTCGCTATGCGGATTGCTGATTGGTTGTCGCAGAAAAGGGAGAAGTTGGGTAACTGGGCCAGCTTCGCTTCTTCTAGCAGTTCGCGGAGATACAGCCCTTCCTTGGTGGCTGAGCAGAGTGCGATATATTCTGCTTCAGCTGAGGAGAGAGCAATTAGCTCTTGCTTGCTCGACTGCCACGAGATGGGGTCGATAGGCTCGAGTCGGTAGATGTAGCCAGTGCGTGATCGCCTATTGTCGGAGTCACTGTCAAACATTATATGTTTATATTGTGTAGGCTATAGTGGGTTTAGCCTTAGGGGGTACAGCTTTGTTAGGGTTTCCTACTTGTATCCCCCTCCTACCTAGTTTCATGCATTCTCGTTCTATTCTAGATTCTAACATGGTATCACGAGCCTAGGTTGCTACCTAGGACCGCTTTCTACTATGGGCCCACTATTCCGCTAGAAGCGCCCTCGTGCGCCCTACCTTACGTGCGCCCTCGTGCGCCTTTCTCTGCTAGTGCGCCTTCGTGCGCCCTCGTACGCCCTCGTGCGCCCTCGTGCGCCCTCGTGCGCCTTTCTCTGCTAGTGCGCCTTCGTGCGCCTTCGTGCGCCCTCGTGCGCCCTCGTGCGCCTTCGTGCGCCCTCGTGCGCCCTCGTGCGCCTTCGTGCGCCCTCGTGCGCCCTCGTGCGCCTTCGTGCGCCCTCGTGCGCCCTCGTGCGCCCTCGTGCGCCCTCGTGCGCCCTCGAGCGCCCTCGTGCGCCCTCGAGCCGCCCCTGCAGGTCCGTCAGGCCCCCGAGCCGCCTCTGCAGACCCGTCAGGCCCCCCCCGAGCCGCCTCTGCAGGCCCGTCAGGCCCGAGAGCCGCCCCTGCAGACTCGTCAGGCCCGCGCGCAGCCTCTGCCCGACCGCGCGCCGCCCCTGCAGGCTCTCGCCGCCCGCCGCGTCGCCCTGCCCGCGGCGTCGCCGCCTGCCCGCGGCGTCGTCACCTGCCCGCGACGTAGCCCCTGCCCGCGGCGTCGTCGCCTGCCCGCGGCGTCGTCGCCTGCCTGCGGCGTCGTCGCCTGCCCCCGACGTAGCCCCTGCCCGCGACGTCGTCGCCTACCCGCGGCGTCGTCGCCTGCCCGCGGCGTCGTCGCCTGCCCGCGGCGTCGTCACCTGCTCGCCGCGTCGCCCTGCCCGCGGCGTCGCCACCTGCTCGCGGCGTCGCCCTGCTCGCGGCGTCGTCACCTGCTCGCCGCGTCGCCCAGCCCGCGGCGTCGTCACCTGCCCGCCGCGTCGCCCTGCTCGCCGCGTCGTCACCTGCCCGCCGCGTCGCCCTGCCCGCGGCGTCGCCACCTGCTCGCGGCGTCGCCCTGCTCGCGGCGTCGTCACCTGCCCGCCGCGTCGCCCTGCCCGCGGCGTCGCCACCTGCCCGCCGCGTCGCCCTGCTCGCCGCGTCGCCCTGACCTAATCCGCGCCTGGCCTCTGGAGCAGCCGCCCCTGCAGCAGCCGCCCCTGGCCACTGGAGCAGCCGCCACTGCAGGAGCCGCCCCTCGCCCCTGGAGCAGCCGCCCCTGCAGCAGCCACCCCTGGCCCCTGGAGCAACCACCGCTGCAGCAGCCGCCCCTGGCCCCTGGAGCAGCCGCCACTGCAGCAGCCGCCCCTGGCACCTGGAGCAGCTGCCGCCGCGGCCCGGCCTCGCCCTGCAGCAGCTGCCGCGGAGCTCCCTGCTGCGGCCCGGCCCCGCCCTGCAGTTGTAGCGGCCCCGCTGTCGCCACCGTCTTGCGCCTGCCGCGCCGACCAGTGGTGAGCATTGCCCTGCCAGCACTGCTACCGCTGCTACTGCTGCTACTGCCTTTTCTACTCCCACTGCTACCGCTCCTTCTGTTACTGCTGTTACTTCCGCTACTGCTGCTACTGCTGCTCCTGGCGTGGCCAGATGCAGCTCCAGGGCCGTGCGCGTGAGTCCCTCACGCCCCAGCAGCTTCGTGAGTGGTACGCTAGTTGGGGCTGTCGGGGTGGCCGTAGTGGTAGTCGCTCTGGAGTGGGTCGGTCGGGAGCTTCTGGTAGTGGACAGGTGCAGCTGCCGTGTCCTCTTTCGCCCCAGCAGCTTCGTGCGTGGTACGCTAGTTGGGGCTGTCAGGGTGGCCGTAGTGGTAGTCGCTCTGGAGTGGGTCGGTTGGGAGCTTCTGGTAGTGGACAGGTGCAGCTGCCGTGTCCTCTCTCGCCCCAGCAGCTTCGTGAGTGGTACGCCAGTTGGGGCTGTCGGGGTGGCCGTAGTGGCAGTCGCTCTGGAGTGCGTCGTTCGGGAGCTTCTGGTAGTGGACAGGTGCAGCTGCCGTGTCCTGTGAGTGAGGCTGCCGCTCTCGGTGCTAGTGCGTCTGTTGCCCTAGGTGCTGGTGAGGCTACCACTCCCGGTACTCGCGTGTCTGCTACCCCAGGTGCTGGTGAGGCTGCTGCTCTAGGTGCTCGTGAGTCTGCGCCCCCTGGTACTGAGTCGACTGAGGCACTGCACACCTTCACTCTGGACTCAGGTGCTTCTCGCTGTTTCTTTCGTGACCGCACTGCCCTTGAGCCGCTTCCTCGGCCAGTTGCTGTCTCCCTCGCTGACCCCTCTGGGGGTCCGGTCATTGTGACCTCCTCCACTGTCCTTCCTTGTCCTGCGGTCCCGTCGGGCACACTGTCAGGTCTCCACCTCCCCTCGTTCTCTACGAACTTGGTGGCGGGTTGTGCGCTCCAGGACGGGGGTGTTCACCAGTTCACCCCTGCCTACGAGCGCGTGACACACTGCACGTGTGCTCGGACGGGCCGTCACCTGGCTACCTTCACTCGGCAGCCGGGGTCGGACCTGTACACACTGACCACTGAGTCCCCTCAGGTAGCTGCGTCTGCGTCTGCGTCAGGTCAGCTGTCGGCCCCCTGCTCGTGTCGCTCTCTGGCGCACGAGACCGTCCTCTGGCACCACCGACTTGGTCACCCGTCCGTGCAGCGCCTTCGTGCCATGCACAAACGGTACCTTGTCTCTGGTCTTCCCAGGGTTCTCCCTCCCCTCCCACCCTCGCCTGCTCCTCCCTGTCTTCCCTGTGTCGAGGGGCGGCAGCGCGCCGCTCCTCACTCCTCCTCGTTTCCCCCGACGACTGCTCCCTTGCAGACGCTCCACATGGACGTGTGGGGCCCAGCCCGCGTCCGTGGTCAGGGTCAGGAGAGGTACTTCCTGATAGTTGTTGACGACTACTCGCGCTACACCACGGTCTTCCCCTTGCGCACCAAGGGTGAGGTC